TGCAGAGAACATTCCAGGCCTGTACACAGACATGTGTTTTCCTAAATGAGTTACAAGATTAGAGATGCCGATCAGCTGATAAGTGAACAGTAAGGACCAGCTTTGGAGAGAAGTTGGAAAACCTGCTAATGTAAAACTTATCATAGGAGCAAATGTAGGAAAGCCAAATGGAGAAAACTTGAATAAGACCTCAATTCTAGCCCTAACTCTGCCAAGTTTATGATTAGGAAGTTACTCTGACTTCATCGATCTGAACCTTAAGTTTTTCATCTATAAAATGGAGATAATAATCTTTGGCCTGTGTGACTTAGTTATTGTAAGTAGCAAATTGGATAATTTAAAATGCGCTGAAAATGTAAGATGTTACTTTTAGTTCGTAATAATGCCCCAGGTTAACAAGAAAGGCTACACTATGTTAGGCATATTCCAACTAGGAAAACATAAATGAGTTTTATGTGGTCAGAGAGAAGGAAGCTTCATTTCTCTGGAAAATGTATGTATGTAGAATACCTCTGAAATCCTTGACAGGACAGGATGAATGGGGTCTAGCCCACAACTGAGAGTAAAAAGACATAGCTCTGCCACTTACTTGTGACTTTTCAATAAAGCACTGAACTGTTATTTCCCCACCCGTAAATTTAGTAGTGCCTGCTCCAGGATGTGTTGTGGAGAGGCTCAAATGAAATGGTAAATGTAAATTACATTATAAATGGAAAAAGCATTAGCTGGGTGTGGTGGCACACACCTGTAATCCCAGCACTAGGGAGGCTGAGGCAGGAGGATAGCTGCAAGTTGGAGGCCAGCCTGGGGTATATAATGAGTTCAAAGCCAGCCTGAACTAGTACAAAGACCCTGCCTCAAAAAAAACTTAAAAAAAAAAAAAAAAAAGGAAAAAAAAAAAGCATTGTACAAGATGTGAGGGATGATAATCATCATTATAAATTGAGGTGTGGTTGCAGTTAGCTGCTTTGCAAATTTAGTACATGTACTTAAGGAAAAGAATGTGGTAACCTTCCTTTTTTGTCCTTAAAATGTATATTCCAGGTCACATTTTTCTGTTTCTATTTTAGATATCACTTTACCTAATTTTAAAATCTGATTTCTTTTTTTTTTTTTTTTTTTGGTACCGGGGATTGAACTTTGGTCCTTCTGCTTGCAAGGCAGGTGGCGGAACCACTGAGCTAAATCCCCGGCCCTAAAATCTGATTTAATGTTTCTTCCTCCCCACCTGGCCCCTAAAAAATGTCATGGGGAGCCACATGGATAGAAAACTCTATGTACCCTCATCATTTGGGATATTTGATTAAGCCTGATTGAATCATGTATCTGTGATTTACATAATTGTTCAGTGCAATTTTTTAGTGGCTTCTGAAATGTTCTTGCAATGGTTGATTGCATTGGTATAACTTGTCAACTATAAGGATTGTGGCTCCCTACCCGTCACCAGCAGTCTTCAGACAATGCTGCCCCTGAAATTTGTGCTGCATTTGCATGCTAAATGATGCAGATCATAGCTGAAGAGGTGTTAGTGATCATAGAAGAGATGTAACTCCCAATCTGTTAGATGTCAGATGTGCTGTGTTCCTGTCCCCTGAAATCGAAGAATGAATTCCAAGGGACAGTGGAGATTACAAGTAGGAAAGGTTTATTGAGAAATAGCTTGGAGAGACAGGAGGTGAAGTGGGTTGGCCTTTGTCAGGAGTAATTTATGCAGCAAAGTCGCAGTGTGGGTACAATGTGGGTCAAACTACCATCAACCTATAGGATTACAAGTATAGCTGCTTAGCTAATATTGATGCAAAAGGGAAACAAGTGACGTATCAGAGTATATGGCTGGCATCATTAACCTTGGCTTATCTATGACTTGTAACAAACATTTTTAGGAAGAAATGGGCTAGATGTTCTGGTCACCCACCTGGTGTCTGATGCATATCTGAACTTAATGGACCTAAGTAGTGCTAATTACAACATAATCTCGTTACTGTGCATCCCTTAGAGAAGCATGTAGGCCTGGCCATTGCATCTTTATCTTGAGCCTGGCCTTCTTCAGATGTACCTCCAGCCACAATTCTGATGTCTTTATTTTTTCTACTGACTTCCTTGAGAGCCCAATCCTCTGTGTATGCATGCATGCATGTATGTATGTATGTATGCATGCATGCATGTATGTATGTATGTATTTATTTTTCAGTACCGGGAATCAAACTCAGGACCTTGTGCTTGCGAGGCAGGCATGTCGCCGCTGAGCTACATCCCCAGCCCTATGTATTTATTTCTATCTAACTTAGCTGCCTATAATATTAGGACCTGTAGGTAAGAATTGGTTCAATATATGTCAACTTGGGAGTTAATAAATAAATTACAGACTGATGATTCAATTTTAGCATTTTTCTGATTTATATTCCCTTGCTGTGTAATTTGTGTAGCTTTGAAAAGCATCTGATTAAAGAAGTGATGCAGAGGAATCTGAGGCTCAACTTACTGTTGTTAAAGAAGTCTGAATGTAGCTTTCCGTTGGTTATTAAATATTCTAAACATAGAATGAAAATAATAAACACTGGATATCTACAATGCAGATTTAAACATTTACTTTAGAAATTTGTTTTCAAAATAAAATATGACCGGTACAGTTGAAGTCCCTTTAATATTTTTGTCCTCATCCCATTTTCCTCCCTCTACTCTCTGGAGGTTACTGTTACTATTATTAGAAACCTGTTCTATTTTTATATTTGTACTGCTTATGTATCTATCCATAAAGAATATAAAATACTGTTTTATACACATGCTATTTTACAGTATATGTCATTCTGCAATTTGCTTTGCCGCACTTGTTTGTTGGATTTGTTTATATTGAATGGTGAATTTTAATTTTTTAAAATGTAATCGTTGTATAGGTTTCCCTTGTATGAATATACTGTAGTTTATTTTTCAGTTCTTATTATTTGGGTCATTTGGGTTACTAGTTGTTGTTTTGATGAGATGGGATCTTACTACATTGCCCAAACTGGCCCTGAAATCCTGGGCTCAAGAGATTTTCTTGCTTCTGCCTCTAGAGTAGCTAAGATGCCAGGCTTTTGCACTGGTTAGATTTTTGCTTTTATAAACTGACAGAGTGAAGTGGATATCTGTGCTTCTGCTTACCTGTGTACACATGTGAGAGTTCCTCTAGGCTGAGCACATACCTGGTAATACAATTGCTGGATTGTAGTGGGTACCAATCTTCAACTTTACTAGAGCAACAAGTTGCTTTCCACAGTAATTGAGCCAATTTACTCTTGCACTGGTAGTTTATCAGAGTACTTGTTTTTCCACTTCCTTGTTTAAACTTGGTATTGTTATACTTAACTCCTCCACTCCGATGGATATGAAATGGTATTTCATTGCCTGAATTTTTCTGATTACTAATGAAGTAGATCTTTTCATATTATTATTGACAAATCATATTTTCTGTCTATTGTTAGTTACTATCCTTTGCCTGTTTCTCTGTGGGATTCTTTCTCTTAGAGATTTGCAGAAATATTTTATATCATTAGATACTAATACTGTGTTAATTATATGCATTACTTATTCCTACTTTCAGATTTTGACCTATTTGTCAACTTTATGGTATCCTTTTGTCAAAGGGAAACTGTAGTTTAGTGTAATTAAATTCAGTTATGTCAATATTTAAGAGTTTTCTGCTCTGGTGTCATAATAATATTCTCTCATATTTTCTTCTTAAAGTTTTAACATGTTCTTCCCACACTAGGTTTTCATTCCATTTGAAATTTAAGTGTTGTTCCCGGTGAGGCAAAGATCCAGTTTTATTTTTACTTGTGGAGGCCAGTGGTCTTAACACTGTTTTTTGCACAACCCAGCTGTTACTCGGTGATCTGTCACATCCATCATATTCCATTGGTTTCTGCATCATGCTCACACTGCCTTCATCATTCCAGGTCTGTCTAAGACCTTATCTTTGGTAGAGAAAGACCTACCCCACTCCCTACTTTTTTGTTGTTCTTCAGAATTATTTGGCCCATTCTGGGATTTTAGTCTTCATATGAATTTTAGAATCAAGCTGTTTAGATCCATCAAAATCAGTTTTAATTGACTATGCATTTGAAATTACTTATGGAGAATTGATATGTTTACAGTATTGTCTGTTCATTCATGAAGACATTTTATTCAGATTTTCTTTCATGTCCTTGAAAAATACCTTTTAATTTCTTTTCTGTAGAAGTCTTACATGTCTCATTAGATATTTTCCTAAATGCCTTATAGTTTTTGTTGCCAGTATAAATGGGATTTTTTTTCGTATAAGTCTAATTAGTTATTTTGATTTGTGGGGATACTGGGTTTTTTTTGGTATCGGGGATTGAACTTGGGTCCTTGCGCTTGTGCAGCAGGTGACAAAACCACTGAGCTAAATCCCCGGCCCAGGATACTGTTTTTGTAGTGTTCATCTTATATTTAGAAACCTTGCTGAACCTTCTTCTCAATATATTGAGTTTGTATTCATATTCTGTTGAATTTCCTATATAGACTTACATCTGCTTTTTAAATAACAACAGTTGTAGTTCCTTTCCCTTTGCATGTTGAATGTTGTGAGTGGTGTTCAGACTTTATTCTGTATCAAATTAGGGGCTATTAAAGATATAGAGTAGAGAAGCGACACTTAAATATTTGCATTTTAGAAAAACAATTTTGGTGGCCAAGTGAAGGTATGACCAAAGATAAGCAAGGTATCAAGGGATGCTCTTATTATAGCTAAACTACACTGCGAGGCCGAGCTTGGGTAGTAGCAGAAAGGAAGGAAGTACAGAGGTAGAACTGGATCACAGGGACCAGGAAATGAATAAATGTGAGGATTAGGATTCTGGAATCAGCTGTGATACTTAGGTTTCTTCTTCTAAAACTAATAGAATTCAGAAGAGGAGGAGCAAGTTTGATTGATAACCATTCCCACCGGCATGGTTTGAGTAGTATTTCTCTCAGTTTATCCTTATGAAATCTCCATGTAGATATGCATCAGCCTGATGCAGAGCTTCCAGTGACCCAGAGGTTGGAGAGCGAGCTTAATGGGTTAGATGTGGATGTCCTTCCAGAAGAAGCGCCACTTACTCCAGACCAAACTGTAAACTCCAAAGATGAGGCATTAGCCCTGACAAAAACAGGAGCAATGAAGAAGAAACCTAAGACAGAGAATGTGCCATTTAGGAAGAAAGATGCTCTGGAGCCAGCAAGTCTACAGCAAGTATGAAATCATTTCTTTCTTTCAGCCCATTTATATTAATCTGATGTTGTCAAATGTCAGTTAGCTAGTTGGTGGAGCCAACATTTTATTTCTCAGGCAGTTGGGTGCCACAGCCCTTGAGCCCAGTAATCTAAGCTGATTTAACTTAGCTTCAGATCATTTTTCTATTTTAACCAAGAAAAATTTCTCAATATGATTAATAGGACAGGGCATTTTCCCTTGTCCTAGTTCAGTAATATCTTAACTAATTTGATACCAAGGTCCTCATTGAGAAGGCTATTTTAAAACTCAGGGTTTTTTCTGATGCTGATTTGAAAGTGTGAGATTTAAGAGGATTTAAGATTTGGTTGCTGCAAAAATAAATATTGTTTATTAATAATCACTGAATTGGGCGTGGTGGTGCAGGCCTGTAATCCCAGCACTTGGGAGGCTGAGGCAGGAGGACTGCTGTGAGTTCAAAGCCAGCCTGGGCTATATAGTTCAAGACCAACTTAAATTACAGAGTGAGATCATGTCTCAAAACAAAACAAAAAAATCACTGAATATTTAAGAGCATCTTGAATAAGTGCTTTTTAATATACCCGTGGAAGTCAGCTGGATAGTTAGAACTTGGTTTGAAACTACATTAGATTTTAGACTTCATTTGAATCTTCCTTAAGGTACTACAGTGGAAAATTGGCCAGTAGAGCACCTCCTACTCTGAATAGCTCTGCTATAGTGACTGTCACTTGACTGTGCTGTCCAAAGGTTTCTGTAGCAAACCTATGTATTTGTTAGCTGGGAGATTTAGCAGTTATCACCATTTACTGATACATCATGCATTAAGGTCAAATCTTTATTTCTTTCCCAAAAATATCTCTAATGAGGGTCTCAGAGAAGTCAGGATTGAGCCTGTAAGAATTCAGCCTTATGTTCTTCTCCAGAGACAGAGCCTCATGCTTTATGGCTTGTTAAAATAGCTTGATTCATACCTTTTACACCCAAGGCTCAGAGAGGTTAAGTCTTTTAACTGAGTGTTTTATAATTTCCCTTTAAACAATATGGAATTTAAAAATTGAAAGTTTTAATTAGGAAAAATTGTATAAATAAGAATGTAGTTTATGGATATAAAAAGATGGCAGAGCCAGGCATTTGAGTTCTCTCCTTCCATCACTTCCACCAGAGTTGCTTCAATGTAATTTATACTCTTCTCTAAGTCCCTACCACTGTGCTTTCTTCTTAGATTTTACTGAATGGGTGCAGGAATAACAAAGAAGCACTGGATACTTTAGTGAGTCAGAGGTTGAAACCAGAGTGTCTTTGATATTGTTTGGCCTTCTAATTCATATTTACCTCTTATAGGGACTGCACAAAGCTGAAAAAACTAGACCAAGCCAACCTCACAGCAAGAACAGGTTGCATCAGACTACAGTTTCATCCAGATTAAAAATGAACCGACAGCCTGTGAGAGACCATAGGGCTCCTTGGATACCCTCAAACCCCACCTCTCCACCAGCGTCTCCTAAATGGTATGTATAGATTCAAGGGACCATAGGGTACAGGAGTGTATTTATCCTCCATGGGTTGAAATAGAAGCTTTAATCCTTCCCATTAAGAAGAAATGTTAGTCAGGCATGGTGGTACACATTTGTAATCCGAGCACTCTGGAAGGTTGAAGCAGGAGGCTGTTGAGTCCAGGCCTAGCCTGGACAACTTAGTGACTTAGCAGACCCTGTCTCAAAATTTAAAAGCTCTGGGTTTAATCCCCAGCACACTCCCCCCTGCCCAAAAAAAAGAGGAGAGGAAAAGGGGGAGGAAGAAGAAAAAGCAGAAATAATACGTAGTAGCAGTTGTTGTTATTAAGAAATAATGCTTAGAAGTAGTAGTAGAAGAAATAATAATAATAGTGCTTCTATGGATGAGACATACATGAGAAGTTTTTGTTCAGACCCTGTTGGTTACTTTTTCCACCTGGCTATGGTTGGGTGGCCTGGTCTCCCAAGGGGCACTCCAGTACCTAGTGGATATATGTCACTGTAGGGAAGATCATGGGCTTCTCTTGTCTCTTTTCCCAACAGATTATGGTTTCTCTAGGTTGTATCTATTTTATATTTGAATGCCCATTGCCTGGCACATAATAGGCACCCATTAAATCTTTGCTGAATGAGTAAACATTTAAAAGTAACACATTGACATTGTCCAAATTTCAGGGGACAGTTTGGAAAATGCTGGCATTAATGTCTTGTCACCCACATTCATAGCACATGGAGAGTGAGGAGCTGTTTGTCATTCCACAGGGCTGAAGGGAAGGTATTGTCCTTCGGGGGAAGCAGGGCCCATTTAGGAAACAATCTTTGGGGAACTTGATTAGAGATAAATGGGAGCTTGTTTGCCATGGTTCAGTGGTTCTTGATAATGCATTGGAAAGGACAGGGAGTAGAATAATACAAAGAAGGAAGCAAAAACCAGTAATGCAAGGAGAACTAGGGAGAAGGTTGGTGACTAGAGGGTGTACCTTTAAGGAGACCATTAGAAGAGTAAGCAGCCTGGCAAGAAATTTCAGTGGTTCTGACTCAGTGGCAGTGCTTAGCCACCAGCCTTCACTGTGAGGTGAAAGAAGCAATGATGAGCGAATGTAATGTCTCACTTGTGTAACAGACTTGGGACTAAAATCAGGTCTTCTGATTTCATTATGTGCTCCTTTTAATTACTCTGTTCTGATTCCTGTGTGTGTGTGTCTGTGTGTGTGTGTGTATGTATGTATGTATATACATGAACACAGAGATATGAGTTCAGTCAGTAAGCACATAAAAACATAAATGGATTGAAGTTGGTATTGCAGACCCAATACGCCGTGGTTTACCTTCAAAAGTGTATATGTAGCAGCGGAGGAGATGAGCCAGTAAGGCTTCTCTGCTCACAGTGCTGTGTTAGACCTTATAGAGATTCATGTAGGAATGTAATAGGGAGTATTATTACTGCCTCAAACCTACATATTAAAGCAGGTTTTGTTGATGTTCACCCTGTGTTCTGTAGTTATAATTATTTTTCCATTTAAAGTAGTAACTGCTTCTCTGAAGTGAAGGGAACGTCTCCTGTTTGACACTGGATCCGACTGCCTGAGGATCTTGCTGTTCTTCACCTTCAGCCTCCTATTTAGGGTGCTCCATGCTGTAGATCACCATGACTTTAATGCTCTGGTCTCCTCTGAGCTGGGACCTTTGGATGAGTCATCAGACGTGGAGTGAATGATTATAGAGGTATTCTTTTCCATTCTGTGCAGTGCTGCATGGCTAAAGGTGAAATGTAGCCCCAGAGATCCCACAAAAGAACATTTTCTCCAAGAAGAAGGTGCTCTAGAGGAAAGTCAGCTGAGGGGTACCATTGAGCATGAGGCAGCCAGGTTTGTGCTGATATTTTTCACATCTTTGAAAATGAAAAGATTCCTTTTATGGACTTTAAACCCTTTCTTGTCTTTCCCATATCTAAAGTTGGTTATTTAAAATGTGGATTATTGGGGCTGGGGATTTAGCTCAGTGGTTCCGCCGCCTGCCTTGAAAGTGCAAGGTCCCAAGTTCAATCCCCGGTACCAATAAAAATAAATAAATAAAATGTAGATTATTAAACTTTTCTGTTAAACTATACAGCTTACACAAGTCCCTCTTTTATTCCTGATTTCATTCATTCAAAAATTATATGTATGTTAATTGTGTATCAGTTGCTAGTTTTGTGTATGGCACCCTTATGAGTTCTGTGAAGACTTTAAACAAAAGGGGCAAGTAAGACATAATCCTTGCCCCCTGCTTATTTACAGTCAGCAGGGAAAATTAGCTGTAATTTAAGGTAGGACACTACATGTACCCTAAGAACTGAGAGAATTTAGAAGGCAGAGAGGTTACTTCTTGTTGTGAAAAACCAGGCTTCACAGAGGGAGAAATTAAACTAGGACTTGTGCAGGCAGGATTTAAATATGGGGGCTATGTTGAGAACATTCCAAAGGAAGAGAGCAGTGAAAACAGGTCATTGTGTATTTGCTTGGCTGAAATTATCTTCTAATTATGGGAAAGCAAAAATAAAAATGAGTCATTAGGGGCTGAGACTACATCTTAGTGGTAGAGCACTTCCCTAGCATGCATGAAACCAGGATTGATCCTACCGCTTAAAAAATAAAAGTGCAATCATTAAATAATTTGGTAATATTCACATATCCTAAACCAAAAGAACCAAATTCCTTTCGTATATAATAACATTGTCTAGAGGTAGCTTTCCCCTTTTGTTTTTATTTTACTTTATTATACCTACATAGGGATGCATTTCTTTGTCTAGACTTGAAGATATAGCTAGGGTTTTGTTTTAGTCTAACAAGAACTCCTAAATACAGTGATGTCTAGTTTTCTTGAGAACATTTGTAAGTAGCTTGTTTTTGTTCTGCATACTATCTCTAAGTGCTTTTGTGCATAAATTTCTTTGTATAGAAAACATGATATGGAAGGCTTTTATGGGTACAGAGAAGTTTCATTTCTTGAGTCTTTAATGGAGCAAGGATTGATGTCGAGGAGGGGGTCCCTGCCTTTTGCTCTGTTTCTGTGGTAATGATGCCCTGCAGCATTGCGGGGTAATTGGTTTGACTCTTTTGTACTATCAGGCTCACTTGGCTTGATGCTGAGTCTCCTAAAAGACTGAAGGAACTAGAAGACTTAAAAGCCAAAGAAATGGACAGACGGCAAAAACAGAGGTAAATATTTGTTGCAGAGGCAGATAAAGGTAAGCAGGCCATATTCTATGTAGCTTTATTAAACAACCAATTGGGATTGTTCAGTTCTGGCCACACTTTTATGCTTCTTGGCTTTCCGCCTCCTGAAAAGGCTGTGAAGCCACCTAAGAAACATACAGCAGAGCCAAGGTTAGAACCCAAGCAAATCCTGACTCTGTTTTGAGGAGAGTTGGGGTGACTCTTTGTTCTCGCCTGTAGACTTGAATGGCTTAATGCTGAAACTTCTAGGTGAACAAAGGAATTGAATAAATTGAAAAGTGAAGAAATGGATAGAATCCAAAAATTAAGGTATGTATTTGCTTTTGAGAAAGAATAGGAGATGCTTATCTGTTCTAATTGATCCAAGTAGTTTTTTTTTTTTTGGTACTGGGGATCGAACTCGGGTCCTTGCGCTTGCGCAGCAGGCAGCAAAACCACTGAGCTAAATCCCTGGCCCTGATCCAGATAGTTTTAACAACTCACTAGGACTGTTTAGACTTAGCCTCATTATATGAATGAGTGAATGCATGCATGAATGAGTGAATGGGCACCTGCATGTCTACATCTGCATTACATCATATTTTTTGCTAGAAAATGTTTACTTTGTGCAGAGTTTGAAGGAGCAATGAAAAAAAAAATCTTTAATTTGGGCACAGCTCTGTCTTGAAAGTTTAGATTCTTATATTTGCTTATTTGTTTATATGATCTCAAAGATTCTTTTCCCTAGCCAATTGCTAGTCCTGCTAAGGGCAGAGAAGTCAATATGATGTGAATGTTCCACTTATGGGTGAATGTATGAATACTTTGGTTTCACATGTTTGCTTGAATGTAATCTAAAGTTTTCAAATGAGGTTGATTTTTTTTCCATTCATTCTCTCAAAGTGTTATCCTCTAACTACAGGCATGAAGAAGTTTGTTAAGATTTAGTAGAGCTGCTGTTGTTGATACTGCTATAGTTGGCTCATTTTTTCAGCTCTGATAATCACCCACTTTGCAGTCAAATAAACAAAACACTTATTGAAACATCTGTGTGTTCTTTCACCATTCATGACAGAATTCAATTCCAGTTATAAGGCTGTGGTTCTGTCATTAAAAGGCCAAGATGTTTTGTTCATAGTTAAGATTTCAAGTGGTACCATCATAAAATTTTAGGATTTGAAGGATCTTTTTCCTCCAACTGATTCTTCCAAGGACCCTGTAATGTTTCCACAAAGTGACTGTCTGTATGCATGTATACCTCTGTGAAAAGATACTTCATACTATCAGAGGGAGTCCATCCCTTGGTCATCAGTAGCTGTTAGAAGGTGTGACCTTAGATTGTGCTGAAATTTGATTCCCTGTGACTCCTTCCCACTTGTCTTTAGACTGTATAGCAAAAGGATAATCCTCTGTACTCTGTTTATCTGTGTGTGATTTTTTTTGTTTAAAAAATTAAATATGTCATACATATAGAAGGGCATTCCAAATTCACATATATAATCCAGAATATTACAACATGGATACCCAGGTACCACCAAGAAATAGACTATTGCCACTGCTGTAGGAGCTTCCAGTGTGCCCTTCCTCAGCTGCATCCCCATCTTTTCCCCAGAGGCAGCCACTACCCTGATTTCTATGTTGTCTTCTCATTACCCTTCTTCATAAATCTACCACCTATGTATTCATCCCTACAAGTATGTATGTATGTATGTATGTATTTATTTATTTATTTTGGGGGGTACTGGGGATTGAACTCAGGATCTTGTGCCTGCTAGGCAGGCACAGTGCCACTGAGCTAAATCCCCAGCCCACTACAAGTATACTTTTAAATTTTGAAAATTGAGATGCACACATCTAGCAGAACAAGGGAAGGCAATGTTGATGGCATTAGATGGAGACTGTCTAGGGAAAGTAGGTTGCACAGAGACTCAATCACAGTCTGACTTAAACTTCCGTGGGAGTTTTTAGGAGCCCATCCCAGGAAATCAGCACGCAAGATCTTGAGAGAGTCCTGGCAGGTGCAGAGCTTACCGCTTGGGTAAGTCCAGGTACACTGGACTTCTGGAAGAAGCCTGATTATGGGAATGGGCTGACTTGTCATGCTCTGCCTCTCTACTCCTTCTGGCTACCCTTTTTGGTCACAGAGGAGGAGCAGGAAATTTACCAGCATCAGGGCCAGATGAGCCAATTACCCAGGCTTGCCTTGCTGCTTGTGTGGTTTTCCATACTGCATTGTCTTCTTCCTTGGTTTACTTGCTTGTTTTGATAGAGCACATTCTAATTTAGCTTCTTGAGAAAGGATAAATGGAGAAATAAATCTTTCACACCTTTCAAGTCTAACAATGTTTTTATTCTGTTCTCATATTTGGTGATAGTGTTACTGGATTTAGAATTCAGAATTGAAGTTTATTTTAGTGGAAATTTTTAAATATTTTTAGATAATTGTACATTCACATGAAGTTGTAATAATACAGAGAAATCTCGGGTTCGCTTTACCCAGTTCCCCAGTGTAACATTTTGGGAAACTAATACAGTACTACAGGCAGCATGTTAACATTGATAAAGTGAAGGTACACTTGATTGATGCTGATGTAGTTAAGAATATTTCCATCACCACAAAGATCCATATTGTTGCCCTTGAAGAGCCACACCTACTTCTCTTCTGTCCCCACCTACTGCTTGGCTAAGTAACCCATGGCAACCATGAATCTGTTCTCCCTGTTTATACTTTTTATTTCAAGAGTGTTATGTAAGTGGAAATGTGTAGTATATAACCTTTTGGGATTGACTTTTTTTTCCCTCTTATGTAATTCTCTGGAGATTCATCCAGGTCGTTGCATCTATTGTTTGTTCATTCTTTTTGTTGCTGCGTAGCAGTCTGTGGGCATACTATCATTTACCTAACTGTTCACCTGGTTAAATATCTGAGGGACATCTGGGTTGTTTTCAGTTTGGAGATACTATGAATAAAGTTTCTGCAAACATCAGCATTTGCACGAATGTAAGTTTTTATTCGTCTGAAATAAATGCCTAGAGTGCAATTGCTGGGTTGTATGTTTATTTTATGTTTTGGTTTTGTATAAGACTGCCAGATTTTCCAGAGTGGTTCTCTATTCCCACCAGCAGTTTTTTTGTTTTGTTTTGTTTAGTTTTGCTTTGGTTTTGTTTTTTTTGAGACAGGGTCTCCCTCTGTAATTCAGGCTGGCCTTGAAGTCACCATGTAGCTCAGGCCGGCCTCAAATTCTGGCAATCCTCCTGCCTCAGCCTCCTGAGTGCTGGGATTATAGGCATGCACCATCATGCTGGGCACACCAGAAGTTTTTGAGGGATCCAGTTGTTCTGCATTTTGCCAGCATTGGGTGGTGCTGTGTTTTCTTTCAGACATTGTGATAGGTGTGTAGTGGTATCTCCTGTGAGTCTTATCTCTTCTCTTCTCTTTTCTTTTCCTTTCCTTTCTTATGGTGGAGATTGAGCCCAGGGCATTGTGCATGCTAGACAAGTACTCTACCACTGAGCTATAGCCCCAACTCTTTTTATTTTTATTTATTTATTTATTTGTTTAAATTTTGAAATAGAGTTTCACTAAATTGCCCAGGCTGGCCTCAAACTTGTGATCCTCCTGCCTCAGCCTCCTGAGTAGATGGTATTATAGGCATGTGCCACTGTGCCTGGCTCCTGGTTGCTAGTAGTTTTAATTTATATTTCTCTCATAGCTATTGATGTATTTTCCTAATAAGATAATATTGAACATTCTTTTAATGTGCTTGTTTGGTCTCCACTCTGTCTTTGCTTACATGCAGGACAGGTTTCTTTGTGGTGTTTGGCCGTATTTGGCTATTTTCTGAAATTTGTCCATCTTCCTAGGTTGCCCCTTTCTTGGACCTTTGACTAAAGCAAGTGGGCTTTTATTGTTTGTCTGTCTGTCTGTCTGTCTGTCTGTCTGTATGTATGTGTCTGTTTGCATTTCTAGGTTGGTGGCTTTTCTAGTATCTACTTTGGGGATATATGAAACAAAACAGAAAACCCAGGGAACCTCAGCACCATCTCTTTCTTTGGGTCCCAGAGTCCCCAGCTGGTCTGCTTTTATTCCACCTTTCCAAAACCTCTTCTGTTGGTTTATATTTAATACATAGGGTTCTTAGTTGTACTTAACAGGAATAGTAGAGGAAAATATATTCTTCTACACAAGGGGAAGTCGGGTCAAAATTTTTAAAGCATCATTGTTTTGCTTCCAGCGAGAAATTGAATCTTACTTTTGAATCTTTCTGTAGAAATTTATACTCTTCTTTTTCCCAGTGTTCTAAAATTTTGTAGCAGTAGGGCTTGATGTGCATATATTTTTATTCCTCAGTTGACCTTTTTTTTATCTGGTAGTTTATTTGCTTTAGTTCTAGTAAATGTTCTTGCTTTATTTTACACTTGTTTTTCTTGCTTCTTTTCTCCCATTGTTTGATGTTGACCTTCCTAGATTGACCCTCTGATTTTCTTTTTTTCTTAACTTTTTTTTCCATTCTTTAAAAAATTTTTTTTTGTTAGTATATGTCTGCAATGCATAATATATGCATCATGGGATAGTGATATATATGTGTATATATATATATTTATTGCCTCTTGACCCTTATTACTTCCTCTTCCCCTACCCACTGTCCTGTCTTCCCCCATTCCCAGATCACCTTCCCATCATCACAAAGCCTCTGCTTTTCTTTCCTGGTTTTATCCTATTTTCTTTCTCCCCTCCTCACCTGTACTCCCACCTGCCATCCCAGTAAGCGATTTTCTCATACTTACTATTTAACCTGTTAGGTTTGTCATTTCTGCTACAGGATTTATAAAGTCTAAGCGCTCTATTACATTCTCCAGATTTCTCATACATATTAGTCTTCTATTTTATGGATATATTGCATTCTCTTTAGATATATTAACAACAGCTTTTCCTTACTTTGCCCCATTTAGTGTCTCCCTTTTCTTTTCCCAGCTAGTAGTCCTTCCCTAATCTTCTGATGTTTAAATGTAGTGACTGATTACTGATTGAAAACTCTGTTGGAATTAGTATTTAGTGTTAGGTTTTTTGTTTTTTTTTTTAAAGTTGTCTTGTGATATATAGTAAGTGTATGTCTTGTTTACATATAGTAAGATGTAAAGAACTTAAAGGTACAGTTCAGTTAGTTTTGACAAATGCAGTATTCATTGACAAAAACCCCAGTCAAGGTAAAGAAAATGTCCATCAACCTAGAATGTTCCCACATTTTCTTCCTGGCCATTCCCTTACCTCATACTACCTCATCCCTTACAGAGGCAGTCACATTTTGATGTCTGTCCCCATAAAATAGTTTTCCCTCTTCCTGAACTTCAAATAGCAGAATTGTCAGGATCCAGTCCTTTGTATCTGGCTTCTTTTGCTCACCAAGATATTGAAGATTCACACATTGTGCCTGTATCAGTAATAGTTCATTCCACTTTGTTGCTGGATAATAGTCCATTACAGGAATATACCACATTCTGTTTATCCATCCTCCTTAATGTGACTTAACGTTGGGATTGTTTCCCATTTTTAGTTAGTATGAATAAAGTTATAGAAATATGCTTTCATTTCTCTTGGATAAGTAAGTTTAAGAGTCATATTTCTAGGTTATAGGATAGGCAGTTGTTTAACTTTACAAAACTAGTCATACAAACTTTTTAGAGTAGTTGTAACATTTATACTACTATCAGCAATACATGGGAGTTCTTCATTAGTTGTTTCACATCCTTGCTTACATTTGGTCTTACCAATCTTTTTAACTTTAGCCATTCTGGTGGGAATGTGGTAGTATCTCCTTGTGGTTTTATTTGCATTTCCTTGATGACCAAAGATGAGTACTTTTTCTAGTGCCTATTGTGAAATATCCATTCAAGTCTTCTGCCCACTTTTTGTTGGTGTTTTGCTTTTGATTTTTAATTATTGATTTGAGTTCTTTACAGTGGTGCCTCAGTTCATGAACTTAATTCCACGATTTTGGTCGCAAACTAAATTGGAGGAGAACCAAATCAAATTTCCCCATAAGGTCATCATTGAACCTAACCATTGAATTTGATTCAGTTCTCATCCAGTTTGGTTTGTGACCAAAAGAGTGGAAAGAATTAAGTTTGTGAACCGAGGTACCACTATATATTTTCTAGATGCAAGCTCCTTGCCAGATATTATGTGCAATAGATGCTTCCTCCCAGTACAGGGCTTGCCCTGTATATTTTCTATATTTTTATTAGTATATGTTTGTAGTACATAATGATTACCTTTATATCTTCTTAATGGTGACTAGAAGTTTTAGATTAAGAACAGTTTGTCACTTTTTTTATAGGTCTTTTTGTGAACTTAAAGATATTCTCCTATGTTTTCTTCTAAATACTGTGTAGCTTTAATATCTGTGATCCACTTTGAATTAATTTTTATATATGAGATGAGATACTGATCACAGGTCAGGCTTTCCCTTATGGATATCTGTCTATTCCAGCTCCAGCTGATGAAAGGATTATTGAACTTGAGCTGCCCTCGGTCCATCTGGATGGACTGTTGAGGGCCCTCTTATTGATCTTTCACTCTTACCTTTCATGTGGATTAGACTGTCTAGGGAAAATGTTTTTGATCTTTTGCCCAAAGGATAAGGATCTGAACACGGGTGCCCTAGGAACTGAGTTGGGGCAGGGGCTGTGGGTCTTTCTGCTCGGCATTCAACCCCCCTCTTTTCAGTACAGTACCTACCACTTCAACTGTGATTGGTCACTCCTACACCAGAAACCCTTCAGAGAATGAGCAGTGAGACTTGGAAGTGGAGAGAGGCAGTTGTCAAATTGTGTGAAGTTGGGCAAGGGACCTAGGGGTCTAACTTTCCAAATGCCGTTTGACTCTTTATCTTCCATTTTAAGCCACCCCCTCCCAGCTTTCCTCAGGGCTAGAAATACCTGGTACTGCCAGTCACATGCCTGTTTAGGTCAGCAGTACAAAGTATGTGGTTCTCAGTTTTCCCCATTTCTGGCCTAGAATTCAGTTTTCTTGGATCAGGTAAGTTGGTTACCACTTTTGTCCTTTGTCTTCCAGCACCATTTTTTCCTCCTTGTCTTTGTGGGTTTATATCTTAATTCTACTGTTGTTTTAGTGACGGTTTTAAAATGGACAAAATTTGTTTTTTTGATTCAGCCTGTTTAGAGGCAACCATTATTTTTTAAAGTATTCTCAGAGCCTCACGTACTTATCCAGATATGGCTTGAGCCCTCATACACCAGTGCAAGGTCCACAAAAAAAAACAACAAAAACAAACCACACAAAGTAGGGTCCAGCACAGTGGTGTTGTATCACCTGTGAGCTTGTTGGAAACCCAAAATCTAGGCATCCCTGGGACCAAGTGAATCAGAATCTACAGTTTAACAAGGTTCCCAGGGGATCTGTATAGTCATTACGGTTAGTGAAGCACTGTGGTTTTTATGATCATTTGATTTCTCTTCGTCTGGAATAGTTAGACCAATATGCAAACTAGGCTTTTGACATGAATTGTTTATTTTATTTCTAGTGTCTCTGACACCCAGTTAGCAGACAAGGTAGAGGCAGCAGTTCTAGAGCGTTTGAAGCCCCTCTTGGTCAAGGCCCAGGTAATCTAGTTTATCACATCTGCTTGCTTTTTGTAAGTTCTACAGTACAAAAGAGTTGCTACAAAGGTCATACGGACCCTCTTAGGACGAAGTGTCTGTTTGGCAGCTAGAAGCTGCAGTGCTGATGAGCCTGTGGTGCAGAGCTTGGGCACAGTGCTGTTGTGCCTTTGACATCCCTAGACTGCCATGCACTATTGATGTGTCCTCTGTCATGGGGAAGATACAAATGACGGGAAAAGGAGACTGTCTTGCTCTTGAGAAAGGTGAGAGTCTAATTTGGGGAACAAGTTTAGATTGCAGTTTCCATTCCTAACCAATTCCTAACCATTCCTATTGATGATGTTAGCATTCAGTGAGTTGCTACCAGTCTGTCCTTCCACTGTCTTCTCTCACCTCGGTGGTTTAGAATAATTGACTTTGTTTTACCAAAAGAGAGAGAGAAAGAGAGATGAGGACACGTCTGTGTACAACCAGTACTTTCTTGAAGATGAAGTGACATATAGCACTACCAAGAGATTGTGCCATCATTCTATAAGCAATGAGCTAAATTAATTCTGTTGTCAGATTCTCTAGCCCCATCTGTAAATGGAAACCATTGTGTTGGGATGAAGAGATGAGGCCACAGAAAAATGCAGTTTTAAATGGAATGAATGACACTCTGGGTCTCTCACAGACCTCTGAACTTCCATATTTCTAGGTTAAGAAATGTTAAATTATTAGTAGAGTCTGTGAATGAAATCCCAGGAGTGTTGAAATAGGAGGGTTCTTAGATATGAAAGAGTCCCAGCCCCCTCATTTTATCATCGAGGAAACTGTGGATCAGAGAAGTTGAATGACTTGCATAAAAGCACACAGCTACTCTGGCAGAGTTTACAAAGTTGAGGGAGGAAAAAGCATGCAGAGCCAAGAACAACACATGGCATTTATTTTCATGAAGACAAAGTGCTTTAATTGCTGCAAAAAGCCTAATGCAGCTTGAGCTGATGAATAGTTGCACACAGAAGTTACTCTAGTAACAGGATTCATTTGTACTAATATGAGTCGTAAGTTTTTATAATCCATGAATATATTTGTCCATTTTAATAGAGAGTTAATTCTTCTGTGGAAGCAAATACCCATTTGAAAGATCGTCCATCATTGAACACAGCAGCAGCCCAGCCCACAGAGCAGGTGTGTGTTGTTGTTATTCGGGTATTATTGCATGATAATGTCTCTGGTTGAAGGAAAATGATATGCAGATTACTTTACAAACACTATATTATCCTACTCAAGGCAGATGAAAATAATTTTTCATATCTGGGATGTTAAGTTTTACAGGGTTTATTTAGCATTATGACTTAGATCAGCCTTACAAACAGCGTACAGACATCCCAAGAGCCATAGGTTTTTGTCAGTGGTTCTTTTGTCTCCCGCTGATGACAGAATGTGGGTGCACTGTGGCCCTGAGTGTTTATGGCCTGCGCCAGAAGAATGGCTGCCCTCATTTCCTTTCTTTCAGCTCATTACTGGCCTAATTTCCTTTATACTTAGGGCCTAATGTTTTTGTTAGGAAGCATGTTTTGAGTGCTTAGTATGTGACCAGTATCTGGCCTGGCAGAGAAAAGAGAAAGTCCAGGAAAGAAATGAAAACAGTTGAGAAAAATAACATTTTGTTGTTGTGTGCTCTGTGCTCCTCCCCTGGAGGACTTGCTTCTCATATTTTGGGGAAGGCTCCTGCATTGCTTAGGGTTAGGGCTCCAGAGTACAAGTTGCATCCAGATGATCATGGAAATTGAAAGATGTTAATAAACGCCTTAGTTGCTCAGAGCACGTCAGAGCAAGTTAGAAGTTAGAAGGAGGTTAAAATGAAGCTCCACCAGCCTAGTCACCTTGGGAGTAGGAAGAAAGATTTTGAAAATCTATCCCTCTTGTAATTATGATTAGCTGTAGCATACTTCCATAATTTTTGAATTACAATTTTTTGTATCAATACTTTGTGACAGAATTTCTTTTTCTTTTTTTTTTTTTTTTTTGGTACCTGGGATCGAACTCAGGTCCTTCTGCTTGCAAGGCAGGAGGCAGAACCACTGAGCTAAATCCCC